CGCTCCTCGTCTCTGTCCGGTTCTCGTTCTTGCCAGATGCTCTGAGTGTTCTGCGGTAAGGGTTTTTGAGTCATAGGTTGACATCTGCGGCGTGTCAACTCCGTCGAAAACACGCTGTCTTTGATGGTCGAGCGAAATATCACGAAAAGGCAAGGTTTGTTCTCACGGCGTTGAAAAGTGTTTTATCTGTACCTGAAATCTGTCAGCAGAAAGACGGGAAGGATGCCACTTTGTGACTTAATTTTGTTTCTAATTCTAGCCTAATTTTGTCGAGTGACCAAATTTTAGCGTAAAATACATTTGCATAATTCGTATTGCACATCAGCCGAACTTTGCATGACGATTGTATAATTGCTTTTGCCGTTTGTGCTACAGAGGTCATTCTATTTGGTTTTTTGCATAAGCAGAAGTTCTTTGATTTGTGATGTTTGCTATATCAGCAGCCTTTTAATTCTGTCGCTATATGGCACTGGTTACTGCGTCATAGAAGGAAATACTGCTGTCCGAAAGCAGATCTGCCTCTAAATTGTTCATCCGTGTTGCATACTAGCCTCCTCGTCGATGTTTGTCGTGTTTTTGCTTTCATAAGGGAATCAGGAGTAATTGATTTAAGTTCGCAACAAGTTTGCCAACCAGGGTTAACCTTTTTTCCTTAACCTCTATGTCTACTCAAGTCATATTTTTCCGGAAGCTGTGCTATAGAAATTACGTATAAGTACAAGATCGGGGTGAGCTAATATCTGTGCCATTGCTGATTGATCACGTCATACGAAGAATCGCCGTTCCAAACGAGACAGTAGGCCAGGAAGAATTTACAGATACGCAGGGTATGCGCAATCGCTTCGGAACGTAAATTACATCAATCTGGTGAGCGACTCCTGTAGTAGCCTGGACGTCCTCAGTGCCAGTTTAGGTAGTAAGGTAGCAGAGGCGGGCTTACGAGTTAACAGGACAAAAATGTGACGAAAGCACTAGCAATGACCAGCAACGTTCAGATCAAACGGAATATACAACGGTTAAGAAAGTCAACCGTTTCAGAAACGTTGGACCAATCATTATTAACAACGGGGTCCATGACCGAGGCATTAACCGCATAGAATTCGCAACACCGAACTTTGCGAAACTGTAAGGAGTACAGAATGGTGCTCCAGCAAAGGTGAAATTGATGGCCATGACCTTGAAATACACCTCGATACAGCTGCAGTTTTGAATCGCGAGGAAGAGCAACTAAATTGCTTCTAGCAACGCGGCCTGAGTACTATCCTCAATGTTTGACGGTATCATTGAGTAACGAAGGATCACATTCTGAGACGCTGAAAACTGCTTGAAACGCTGTTTGAAGAATTAAGAGAGCTGCACCTCCCGTTATTCAATAAAACGATTCAAAAAATATTACACATGGCAATGACTTTCCACCTACACTAGAAGACCAGGAGGCGTAGTAGAGCAGCAGACCAGTTTGAAAGCTGACACGATCTATTAGCACATCCGTTTGTGACAGAAGCTAGTGTTTAAAATATTGCGAGGAATTATTTCCTACATAATGAACATCATTATGATGGGACAAGAATCTGCCAATCTTACCACACCCCAGACGGCAAAGACAAATATAACCGCATCTCATGGAGGAGCGATGTGCATATGCCATGGTCGTTGGCGTTTACGCTTTGTGAGAAAATAATGCAAAATGGCTGAACACGTATCGTTGAATATTTGGAAACGTCTTTAAAAGAAGTACTGGAAAGCAACTTTGGAGTTTCAGTATTAAATGAAATGTGTGGTTGGGGATTTCATTTTCTTTTTGTTGTTCCACACGTTTTCAGCTTCACTCTCAGAAACAGTGTTGATATATGAAGGAACAACGTTTGCTATATTACAAAATTTTAGTTTGGAATTCTCAAAGGGCCATCTTGTGTTCCATAGGCAGTTAGTAAGAGGTTGTATCATGCAGTCTTCAACGGCAAATTTAAGCTGTGGCTTCGTGTCTTTCTCTCCATGTTTGTAAGCAAGTCAGTCTTGATGCCATGAGAATATCCGCCAGCTTATGTAACATAGTTTATTACAAAACTGCTCACCTACTGGAATGATCAATGATCAACGGTGTACACTCCAGGTTAGCTCGCCATATTCTGCGATGCTGTACATTCGTCATTCTTCACCCTCCATGATGTGGTAGCTAGATTGACTTAATTGAATCCTGGCATTCATGTAGTGGAACATGTTGGTGGTTTATTTCTGTTATAGTCACGTATGACTAGCAAAGCTTAAGTGGCCTGATTTATGATGTCTGATATTAAGAAATACTGCTTCAGAACAATGTTTGGGAAAGATCATATTCCTTGTTGTAAGCATGTCGGCGTTCAGAATTTGTGCTGTCCTCCAACATGTTTGCTGATAATGGATGGTTATCAGAAAAAGAAAGTTTTGCATACATTTCCGTAACTCCTTTCGGCTGCTGCATCAAATCAAGCTGAGTTCTGCTGAAAGATTTTTTCAGATACCTGGCGATCAACACAAGCCCTTTCGTCACCGGATCATTGCATGATGCCAAATATCTATGCTATGAAACTGAAGATGAGAAGATAAAGAGGGATATGACCAGTTAAAGTCTTAGATTATGAGGATTATAATCGTATCTTGCGAATTGATTTGTTCACAAGTCTTTTGAACCAGATATTAGAGTGAATAAAGAAAGGCAGAGTTCATTGTAATATTTAGAAATTCAGCCGTCGAAGGATGGAATACGAGGCTGCACTGAGGGAACGTTGGGACGATTTGACGAGCTGTGTTGGCGAAGAAGTTAGGAACAAGTGGTGGGCAAAGATCAGAGATGCATATTCAGAGACCCACCGTCATTATCACACATTGGAACATCTTTCTTTGATGTTCAAGTTCTATGACATGTACAAGGATCAACTGAATAACCGCTGTTCCTTGATGTACGCTATTTTCTTCCACGAGTAAGTGCATAATTTTTCGTTTGTC